TCTAAATCATATAGATGCAGGTGTTTCTCTTTAATTTCATTCATCTCACAAATAATATTTATTTATGAACTGGACAGTAGAGTTTTTTGCATTCATAGCGGCGATGAGCTGGATTTGATATATGCAAAAACAAAGAAAATGCGTTAGTTTACTCTAAAGTACCTAAGAGGTAAATGGGCTCATCCAATTTTTTCACTTTTAGCCAAACTACTCTCGTCATCAATTTAACGAGTACCTAATGGTAAAGGACAAACATTATGGTTATCTTATTTCAGAAATATCGCTATAATGGCGACAAATGCTGAGCTTCGATACTCGATGATATCATATGATTCCAGACTGAACATCCTAAACCGTAATTAGACAATTTAAGAGACTCGAAAAAAGGTTACTTACTACTTCCTAGGGTTATTCATAAAAAATCATTCAAACAAAGGCCGAAGGGTTATCTTTTTCATTCATAACGTCGGCTTCAAGCTACTCTAATTACCTCTTAAACGGAGACTAATGGGAATCAAAACATATTAAGTGACTTTCAGACGAGTGACGGACGTGATCAAAGAAGACTAACAGTTGTTATCTCACCACCTGCCAGCACTCTACCGACGACGTAATCATTCATGAAATCATCATAATGACTGACGAGTTGAGTCAGGATGACTTAACTTAACTAACACATCGAGACTCATCAACGGTCTACCTTCGTCAACTCTGTAATGAAGTCGATTGAATACTTTTTCTCAAATAAAGAGCTACTCATTGAAAGACTGCAATTCAACTGCCCACATATCACTGGCGCCACTTGGATTAATCTGTGGGGTTTTCTTTACGGAGTTTCCATGATCGACTTTAGATGGAAAAATGGTGTTCATCTTCCTTTTAAATCGCTCTCTAATCTGTAGATGAACAAGCGACAAAACATCGGATGTTCAACACTCAAATCTTTATTTAATTCAAAACTTAGCAATTCTCTTCATGTGTATCCTCAGTTTGATATCCTTCTTACCTGGCTGTTTCCAAAACAGTGGAGGGCGAAAATCAGGAAACCCTAAAACAGAAAACTATTTTAAGAACGACTTTAAATTTTCAAT